GAGCCCAATAGGCTGAGTTAAAAGATTTTGGTAATTTTTTGGTTAGAATGATTGATTGGGTGTGTAATTACCCAAAAAAGAAATGTAGTAATATTTTATATGTAAATAAGAATCATCTCTTTCATTTATTCAATTGGAATTCATGTCATCTTAGTTGATATAAGTATGGTAAATAATCTAATATAGCAATGTATAGTTATGAAATGAGCTGGCAAGTCATCTTAATATCTGCATATCACTCTTATAGAACTTAATATGCATATTAGTATGGTATGGAGTACAAGATTGAGCCATTATATCATTCCTTAGGATATGTGGATTGGAGGAGTGGTAACTCTTAGGGTGAGTTTAGATCTGAGAAAAATCTTGAGAAGAAAATGAGAAAATTGTCGAAGAATCTTGGAAGGAAAGAAAATGTTGACAAAAATAAAGCACTGGATCAAACTCAATAAGTATATGTTTACGATTTGTTCAGATCGTATTTGTTAGTTACGCGGTTACGCCTTTTATATAAATACTAAAAAATCGTAACAAATGTAAAAAGCTTATTCATATTTCATTTTCCTTTATATTTCCCTATGTAGAACCAAACATAAGAAAATAATGTTCATCAACTTTTTCTTTGCATTTCGGAATCCGAACATAGCCTTAAGGAGTTCACTATAAACTAAAGTTATACTATGTATTTCTTTCTTTTGTTTACCTTTTTCGGCGGGGGGGGGGGGGGGGGGGGGGGGGGCATTGCCTCTTTAACTGGCAGTCCTTGTTTCTTAAACCACAAATCGTGTATTATGTAGCTAAGGCACGTTTAATGTGTCTATGAACAAAACCATGAAGGGTAATCGACTAATCGGAAGTCAGGATATTGAACACTCAACTTTGTATGCATTACCATAAAAGGCACATGAACTGGAATCCGGATGCATGTGTTGCCTTCAGGTTGTGCAAGTTTTATGCTCGCATCTGCCTGGTTTGATCTCGAACAGACGTTCCAGTGGAAGAAAAACAACGAGTCGGGTTTCCATGATTTGAGTCTGGATCAGCTGCTTGTCTTCTTCTGGGCCATCTGTTCTTGACCGGACAGATCAGACATGAGCATCACCTTCAGACCGTGCAAGCTGTAACTTGTCCTAATTATTTAATGTTTTGCTTGACATAAATGACAATTAATGCTCAGGATGCACCATTAATTACTAAGGTGATAATTTGTTTTAGTCTTCGTTTGGGGTCCTACTCTCTACTAAAGCGATTTTAAATATGTTCTCTTTATCCTTGTGATGTACTCATAATTCATTAGATGATTTTTTACAAATAAAATAGTCTTGCAATAAGCTACTAGTCCTTCCTGTCATTTTTCCAAATCTTCTATCAGACATACGCTATTTTAAAAAAATATGTATACATGAATCTGTGGCTTTTGATAGTTCTGCAGCAAAAACTAGTAACGAAGGGTTCCATGATTTTGTTTTCTTTTTACACTATTCTTCAGGTATAAGAATGTTTCTAAGATTTGTAAGTCGTCATTCTCTTGGATGTATACGTGTATGAGGTGCTTTTTTAACATTTGTGATAATATTCTAAGGGTTCTGTAAAAAAGATTAGTTCCCTGCTTTATAGCCATAAATTATTATAGTGCTGGAATGATGTTATGTGTTTTGGTGCTTTATACTTGCACCAACCCACTGCTTTTGGTAATAAATTGGCATGAAATGTATTGTGAATTTACAGGGTTACCATTAACTGTTCTTCATGTATGATAACTTCTAACAGAATTGCACAAGTTCGGGGGAAGTCTTGAGGGCAAAGAATCTGCTTCCAGTCAGGGAGCGGGAATGATAAAGCCAACAGAAAACATGGCAGTGTCAACCATATCTGCCCCTTGTGGAGATGCTTATCATTTAGGGTTGGGAGGCATTCCAATGCAAAGACCATCCTGCATGCCTCAGAGGAATGGGGAAAGGGCATTTCATAAATGGAAAGGACCTGATAAAATAAGTAAAATTTATGGGGACTGGATTGATGATATCGAATAACGGGATTGTAAAACTTTGGGGGCCGTTTGGTTGTAGGAGTCGGGAGGGAAACTCCCTCCCCTCCCTCCGTCCTAACCAAGTAGGCCTTTACTACACTATAGATGTAGTCACTGTTGTAGCCTTTACTATCCATGTTTTATAGTCACTGTTGTCTGTTGTATACTTGTATTAGTTTGACTAGTTTGTATGGTAGTGCTTGTTAAGAGGCCTTTTACATGTGAAAACTGTAACTGTTAAAATGGTTGTATTTGACGAGTAGCTGATTGCTCTGGGCATTAGTTGTTTATATTACTTGTTTGGATCAATTATTGTAGATTTTTATGTGGAGAATGTGATAATACTCATTTTCTGTTAGGTAGCTGTTTGGTTTATAAAGGACTTCGTTTAATTTTGTTATTATCAATTATCATTAGTGTTACAAATATTATCAGTGCTAATTAATTTAAACTATTATGCTATATCAAATACGAAGTATGCAGTAATATTTGACGGGTTTTCCTTTCAACTAATTTATAAACTTACTCATGTAAAAGACGTAAAAGTATATTTAGTAAGATATTGACGGTGCATTTGACTCTTAATTTTTAAAAATTGATCTAAATAAGAGTTCCAAAATTGTAAATCCAAAATATGGTCTTCACTTAATTTAGTAAGATTTTCCTACTATCTTCAAGTTTTCAACATAATATTCCATCCTTTTCTAAATGAAAGTCACACTTTCTTTATTTGGATGTTTCAAAACAAAGTCACTTAGTCACACTTCCTTATTTGGTAAACAAACTAATAACAAAACAGTGTCAAACAGTATAAAAAAAGTATCAAACAGTGTCAAAACTATGCACTCTACATTAAATTTTACTCTTCAATAAATTTATTTCTTTAATATGTGTGAAGTCAAAGTGTGGCTTTCATTTAAAAACGGATGGAGTAGTAATTTACACCTATTTCAAGAATTTGCTCATGGTCAACCTGATAGGCTCTTTAGTCTTTACCAAAGACTAGAACTAGTTATCAGATAATAGGCAAATTATCAAGACACTTAAAGTGGTTTATGGATGGACTCGGACGGGTCGGCACGACACGAGATCCGGTCTGGTACTATGCAGGCCCAGCTCGGACGGGCGGTGCCAGGATCGGGACTGTGGGCCCGAACTGGCTGTTTATGGGGCGGGCTATGAGCCCTAATTTTAGTGGACCGGTCCAGTCGAATCGGGCCCGGTTCAGGTTAAATTATTATTTTAGTTTTTTGGCATTGGGGTGCTGCTACGTGGGTTGAGCTTGGTGTTTTGGCAGGGTTTGGGGGTGGGGTGGGAGTAGGAATAAAATCGAAAAGACTAATTTTTTTATAAAAAAAATATGACCTGACCTGACCCGGGCCCAGGTCGGCCAGATCCTGGTTCAAACCCAGGTCGGTACCGCGCCTTCATCCCAAAACCCCAGTCGTGCCCACTCCCGCCCAATCCCGCCCCTGGGCCCGAGCAATGCCTAACGTGGTTAGGGATGGACTGGGCCGGTTCGGCCCGTCCCGGGATGTTACTGTGCGGGACCGTCCCGGCCTGGCCGACCAGGACTGGGGGCCCGAACCGTGGGATCGGAATAAATTCGAAAAGCCATTTAAAAAATTGACCGACCCAACCCGGGCCAGGCCCGGTCCTGATACAAACCCGGGCCGGTACCGAGTCTGCAACCCAAAACCCCAGTCCCACCCAATCCCGGCTCGGGCCCGATCCACCCCTAAACGTGGTTACACTGGTATGGAATGTGAATAACCGCAAATTACTTGAGCTTAACTCGATGATATCCAATTATATTTATTTATACATGCATTAATACCGGGTATGCATGAGTTATTTCAGTTATTTAAACAAATATAGTGTGTATTAGTGAGAATTTTTAAGATTATCATAAACTGGGTTTGGTGCTTAAGAATATCACTTGAAGGTCTGATTTTCACTTGTTCAGAATCAATTTTCTTAACCAAAGTTACCACTTACCATGATAAGATTGGCATTGGCTTACAATCCTACATGTAGGGGTGGACTCGGGCCGGGCCAACCGGCCCGGAACCGGACCGGCCCGCTACTGTGCGGGCCCGGACCGGTGAACCGGTTCCGGGCCCAGTTCGGGCCAACCGGCCCGGTTCAGGCCAACCGGCCCGGTGGGATGGCGGTTCAGGCTCGGGCCCTTCAAAAGGTGAACCGGCCCGGCCGGTTCGGGCCCGGGCCGGGCCAATTTTATATTATTTTTTTTTGAATTTTTTTTAAGTTTTTGGGTTGGGCTGGGTATTTTGGGTCATTTGAGGTGGTTAGGGTTGGTTTGGGGGTGAGGGGGAGGGTTGGGGGTTAACTAAGAAAAGCCAAAAAAAAAATTAAACTGAGGCCCGGCCTGGACCCGGGGGTTACCCGGGCCGGTTCCGGGCCTCCCCTTCTTGAACCGAGGCCCGGCCGGGCCCGAACCGGAACCGGTCCACCCATACTTACATGTATAATTTATTTTTAAAAAAAGATGACACCTCATCTCTGAAAGCCCTCAACATTGACCGGACGGTAGATTGAGAGGATGTAAATTGAACTATAATCACAATCTAACACATATAAAGTGAAACTCTGTCCCCGATACTTGTAAAAGCCCTATGCATTTTTAACATAGTAAACTCTCATCGCAGTTGAAAGGATTCAAACCCGAGACCTAACTCTTGTGACACTCCTTTGCTACCAATTGAGCTGCGTCCATTGGTAATATAATTTATTTTAAAAAAAAGTAAAAAACGACTCAGTGTTATTTATGACATGCGAAAGAATACTATACTACCTGTCCTTCATTTATCTCCTAATTTGGCTGAGCACAGTTTTATAGTAGAATGAATTTTGTAGTTAGAAATTTGCTTTGAAGAAAGAAACATTAGTGAGAAAATACTTTCTCACTAATGTTATAGCACGGTTTCATGTTATACTACCTGTTTTAATATTAACCAATATTAACCGCTGAATCATTTTCATAAAAAGGAAAAAATAAATAATTTAGTGAGAAAAGAAAAGAATGAAAATAAAAAATGTGATAGGAGATATTACAAAGATACTTTCTTTGATCCTCAACTGAGGGCCAGTTCGCAATTTCGCATCAAGGACTCAACGTCTCGATTTAATCTTTTACGGAGTAACAGTTTATTCACTGGGTGAATCACGTCAATAATGAAAACACATTCAGAATTTTATGAGAGAAACATCTCCAAACAATCCAAAACATCACCTTTCACAAAGTTGGTGCATCAAATTTCAAAGGTAATGTATGTTGCCCACTGTAGTAAAATAATTCATCAACAGCTGTGCGACCAACCCACCAGTATTTGATTTCACCAGACCAACCAAAGACGCTAGTTTTGTGATGTCAGAAGAGACAAAGTGGTCTTACAAAGGGGCTTCTCCTGGATCAATCTTCGCAAGCGAAGGACTCTGGTTTTTGTTACCTCTCAGCCGGGAAGTCACCTTGTCAATGACAGAATTCAGTTGCTGTATCCTTTCATTTAAGGATTCCCTATTCCTCTGCATTTTTCATGAACATAAGAAATGATAAATTAGAGAGAGTTGTTGGTGGTGCAAATGTCCAATGAAATGATTGATTCTCCACACAATTGATTATTACCTCTAAGCCATCGTCGTAATAGATTGGTCGCTTAGCCTTTTGAAAACCAGCTTCATTCTCATTTAGGATAGATCTTCTTATCTAGACAAGTCATGTACAACATTCAGCTCTTATGACTTGAGAGTCAAGACCAAAAAACCTAATAGAGTGCTCAACAGCTAAACAGTTTAATCAACTTCATATATTTTGGTCATATAAGTAAACACCCTTCAACATTTGAAATTTACAGTCTCAAAAAAATTAGAACCTGAATTTATCTTGCTAGCACAATAAAGAAGGGCTTAAGACTTGAGAGTCAAGACCAAAAAACCTAATAGAGTGCTCAACAGCTAAACAGTTTAATCAACTTCATATATTTTGGTCATATAAGTAAACACCCTTCAACATTTGAAATTTACAGTCTCTAAAAAATTAGAACCTGAATTTATCTTGCTAGCACGATAAAGAAGGGCTTAAGACTTGAGAGTCAAGACCAAAAAACCTAATAGAGTGCTCAACAGCTAAACAGTTTAATCAACTTCATATATTTTGGTCATATAAGTAAACACCCTTCAACATTTGAAATTTAGTCTCTAAAAAATTAGAACCTGAATTTATCTTGCTAGCACAATAAAGAAGGGCTTAAACAGACTACTCTAGAATTAGATGTGATCAAATTTAGCAGGGTTATTTATTGCCTACGTTATATTACTTCTATGTCACCATACATCTCTGTGTAATACCGAGTAACTTTCAATCACGTATTTCTTACCTGCTCAGCATTTATCATATATATAGTGTTCATTCAATTTGGCAGTGTGTCTTTAAATGGATCAAGGTCTACATGGTATCTATATTAAATCTAAGAGGAAAATGCCAGGATCAAATTAGACAATTTTCCCTTGCACTGTTTTTTAACAGCATAGAGGTTGTGATCAATTCTCATTTCTTTCAGTAGTACTATCTGTATGTTTTTTCGTCAATTAATCTAGTCTAAAGCAGATATTAAATGTCTTGTTCTGGAAGGCGTATGTGAGAGCAACAAAACCCGTTTAAGGATATTTTGGCAAACAAAAAAAGGATAGTCACAGTAAGCATATATGGGATGTATTCAAGCTGGACATGAAATAGTCCAACTGTCATTCTGTCCATGATATAAATCAGATAAAAATGTGATACATTGAGATAAAAGTTAAGCGGAGTCAAAGAGAATTGTATAACCACCTGTGGTGCAAAAACATAGCCAAGTGCTCCACATATTGCACCTCCCAAGAGAAATCCAGAAATAAATTCAACGCCACCTCCACCTCTACTTTCACTAAATTAAAAAAAAACATTTTATATACATGTGGCTAAAGAGAGTTAAATAAAATACTATAGCCCTAGCACTATTAAGTTATCTGCTAGAGAACACACATAAACTATCGTTTGATTGAACGAGGTTTGCATGTAAGTCAGGAAATTAAGAAAGAATATCATAAAAACGAAAATAGTTCCTAATAAGAGATCAATTAATTGTTTAGAGCAGGTTATTTGAGAAATCCTTCCACAGAATCTGATAACCAACTCCGGTTGTATGACCATCAAACGCTAAAGAGAAGTAGAGCGTGAAAAATGTGAGGTATCAATTTAAGAACTAATCACAGAGAAAAAATACTGGGGATACTCGTATACCACTTTAAATTAAATGCAATGTCACTCAATGATGAGGGAAATTATGTTGCACATTTCCTTCCTTTATCCTTCCAAATTCGCTATTCTGTAAGGTGGACTTACATCAATCTATATAACTAAAATAATGATTTACAAAGGTGTCAGAAAAGAAAATCTGGGGTTTGTAAACTTTCTTCACAAAACCCTACGCATGTGAATGTGTGCATTACAAAAAGCATTTAACTAATGACGCCTTAGTATTTAAAATATAATGATGCTAAACAACCAAAGAAAAAAATTACTAAAGATAATACAAGGAACAGTAACAACCCACACATCTACATGTGTAATGTGTTATACTGATCTTTTATACTGATCTTCAACCAAATCATACAATTATGGCCCAGGGACACTTCTGATATTCATGCCTAAAATGGAAGCAATTACGATAATAAGTCAACCATCAAAATCATGCAAGGCAGTTTAAAGCACCAAATACCCTATAGGACTGAATCCTGCAATGCCAAAAGCTGCAAGACTCTTTCTTATCTAGAATGCAACTCTACATATATGTAAAATAATAAAAATTTAAATTCTTTCACTGTCAATTTTATTTAAAATCAATCTGGAAGACAAATACAGTGTGACCTAGGCTAGGGCATAGGAAAGAATTATGGAGTCACACTCAACAAGTTGAAGTTCATTTCCCCACATGCAACATAAAAATTTAGTAAACCATGTGTCATGAATTAAATTTAATAATTTATGATAGACGTACTTATACTGTGCACAAACCGACAAGTAGTTGGTTCTCCGGTGAATCGGTTTCCTCTGAAATTTCAATGATGGTGTCTTCACAAATGAAGAGGACTTTGCGGACCAAGCTTCATATGTTTTGAGATTAGTTGGACCTATAAAATGTGAAACATTAGTACTTGTCATATAGGAAGTACGTTTCTATCATTTGTAATGGAGCCAAAGACTCACTATTTTTTGGCTTGGAAATATGGAGTAAAGCAAAATGGCTCACTATACTGTCTACGCTTCTTTGTTACGAAGCATCAATCAGTCCCATGCAATTTTCGACGCGATTTTCACTATGGGTCATCCGGAAAAAGTCTCTTTGTGCTTTAGTACAGGGGTAAGACTGCGTACATCCGACCCCTCTTACCCCACTATAGGTGGGAGCCTTTGCGGGACTTGGTAATGATGATGATGATATAGGGAGTACTTTATATAAGAATACTTAATTGTCTAATTTACTACTATAAAGTTTTTTTTACAATGCTTTTTCAAAATTAATAATAACACGAGAGTAACATCTTACCATCTACTCAAGGAGTTTTTACCTCAAAATTATATGAAAGTGAAATCTGAAACATTAAATGTCAAACCACCGAATGATGTCTAGAAAAAAGTTTGGCCAGGTCTACACCATTTATAAAGTATAAGAGCCCGTAGGGTAACCCCTATTTTTAGCTTATCAACCAACTTTTTTACCAAACATGTAGTTTCAGACTAGGCACACTAAATCAAGAAATAATCAAAATAAGTTAGGTTAGAATTATTTTTCAAGCTAGATTGGCTGAAGTTACTATAGAGCACTGTTTTAGCTATTTTTTCATATACTTTTTTATTAATTTTGTTAACAAGAAGATATATTTTACCAAATTTAGCCAATGCAGCCACCTGCCATAATTTCATAAATTTCAACGGATCCATCTGATTGAGGCGTTCAGACAATTTCAGCATTGAGACAATTTCAGTGTTACCAACCTGACTATAAATCATACAAATTCAGGGACCAGATAGCACCAAAGCAATTTCTGTGATAAAACATTTTCTTTCCTGATTTCCCTTGTTGTGATAATTCTAAATCCTGATGGATGTGATTCGTTAACGATACAATAGTAATTAAAAACGTTTCCATTTGTGTGTCAATCCGCATTTCAGAGTAACATTGTGAAAAAGCTTAGACAACGGCGGAAGCTGAACCATCGTGAAGGGAATAACAATGTATGAGGCCAAACGCAATCTACTATGAAATTCTCTATTCCCGCAATCCCGCCCCTACTATCGTGATGAGAATCACTCCACGCCTCTATACTACCGAACTGAAAACTAAATCAACAAAAAACCGGGGAAAACAACTCCCCATGATAGAGATGAGGAGGAAATGGAACTACAAAGAGTTACCTAAGGAAGTAGAGAAGGCTACTCCAGTCGCCATGGAAGCTAACAATCGAACTTCAGGTCGATGGATAGGAAGAGTTGAAGAGATTTGAGAGCTTACTGAGATCTCAAAAGCTTTTGCTTCGAATGTATCGGAAAATCGAAAAGTAGGATCCTTCGCAAAGCATATGTGGGCCGGATATTTAATTGACAGCCCGGTTGTTAACCTCTTTTTCGGCTTACAGGCTTTTGGACCAATTTTTAATACCTGATTTTTTATGTGCGACAATAAAAATAAAGTAAGTTTGAAGGTTTTTTCTAGTTGTATCGATTGAAGTATTGTAGAGAAATATTTTAGCTATATTTACATAGAATTTTTTCTTTAATTATTAACAAAATATATATTTCATAAATCAGGAGCATCAACCAACTCAATTACTACCACCAGAATTTTATAAATTTCAGCAGAATCAACTGATTCAATCATTTTGATTTAACAAACGGGCTCTTAATCTATCACATTTTTTGCGTTTTTATTGATAATGCTTCCAATGATAGGTGGTTTGGTACGAATATATTATCGCATACTAGATTTTTTAAAAATATATGCAACGTGTTGAATTTCACACTATTCACATATTCTACTTTGATTACATTTTATTTATAATGTATAAATAATTTTAAAAATATATCTTTAATTTTTTCTATTTGTAAAAAAAATCAAAAACTGTTTTTTTACTAATAAAGAATACTACCTCCGTCCCGGAATTATCTCCTTATTTGACTGGGCACATGTTTTAAGATAGTGGGAAATGTGTGGTGAAGAGTTGTGCAGAGGAAAGAGAAATGTGTAAGAATGATTGTGAACCACAAATTCTTTGACAAAAAAGGAAAGAGGAGATAATTTTGGGACGGGCCGAAAAGGAAAGTATGAAGATAATTTCGGGACGGATAGAGTAATATATTGATGGATTATAAGGTATCCAAACTGCATAAATAATGGAGAGATTGAGGTAGAGAGTGAAGAAGAAGAAGATGGATAGTGTGTATAATGATGTATTGAGTTAGGAATTATGGTTTACAAGCTCCCACTAGGAGTATATATAGGAAAATCTGAGTTTCAGACTCAAACATGGCCCCGACAGACCCATTTACATAAAAGGGTTGATAATATAAATTAAAAGCTACTCTAGAACACCCAAATAATAATGTACAATAATCAAAATGTCATCTACTCAACGTATGTGGGTCGCTGTCTGGGCCCAATAGTCATAAGACCGGATGTCCGAGTCCAAATACTTTATCATATATATTAATGGTCAAAGTTGTGCATCAACAAATGTGAAAAGTTGACCGTTACACTTATTAAAGAACGGAGGAAGTGTCCTTTTTTGTAGTATACAAAATTTACATATTGATGCTTTACTGAAATTTCGATATACGGTATTTTGATATATCGAAGTTCCGGTTCGGTAATGTTACAATATCGATAAATTATCGTGTATGTCTCTCAATACAATAAGTTATCATAGACTAATGAAATATACAAAATCGAGCTTACTAGTGACACACTAAAACTGTTATTAAAAAACTACAAAATGCAAATAGTAACCTATTCAATATTAAACAATGATTATCATAGTCAACTTTAAGTACTTCAGTGTAGTGCATATTATCTAGTTCTGTGAGGCTTCCGTGACCGACGAGGGCACGGCTGACGAGGGCACCCTAGTTCCCTGGCTTCAGGATCATATTCTGAGTTGGTCCCTCTTTGGCCGACGGGGGTCCTTTGGTCGACGAGGGCACCACTTAGTGGCTTGTACTTTCTGTTCTTCTGAGTATGTGGGTCCTAGGGCTTAGACTCATATACTCAATCAGGAGTCCCCCACTCTCTAAGCTGAGATGTAGACGAAGTGAAGGAGAGTAGATTTCTGTGCCTGATGCTCCTGACCGATGCGGGACCACGTTGGCCGTTCTCTGTCGGCGTTGGTGGCCCTGTTCTGAGTTTGGCCGTTACCTGCCCCTTGATGTGGACGGGGAAGGCTGTTATTCCTTTGGTGCGCTTGTTTTGTGGACGATGAGTGTTCTGGCATGAGTGGCCGATGAAGGTAGTGTCTATCCTTTCTTGATCGTTGATGGTTGAACTTTCCTCTTGGGATGATGAGGCCGTTGGGGTTGCGTCTTGTTTTGAGGACGACGGACGTCCATTGCTTTGGATGGCCGGTGAGGGTGTTGTGCACTCCTTTTGGCCGGTGAGGGTGTTGTACATTCCTTTTAGCCGTTGTTGATGACACCATGTGCCTTTGGGCGACAAGGCGCCCTATTGCCCAAGGTTTTTGGGGATGATAACATTGTTTGGCCGGAGATGGAGTTATGAGGATTTTGGAACCATTGTGGTACATGGACGATGTGGCCGCGTTTGTAGTTGCAATTGTGTACTTTGTGCATTTTTATTTCTCATTTTGCCTGCCATTCTTGAGGTCGGTGTAGTCCCCCAGTCCCCCACTGCTTCAGGTCGAAGAGTGAGTGAGGGGTGAAGGAGTAGCTTGAAAACTAGGCCGAAGCGGGATCCTCATGCTGCCCTTGGATCCAACCCTTTGACGATTTCCTGACCAAGGTAACCCTGTGGGAAAACCCTTGGACGCAGGTCGCTTTCAAAGGGTTATCATCAAGGGTTTAGCGCGAGGGTCTCATGGCCATTGGGTTCCTTTCCCTTGGGGTATTGTGGCCGTTGTAAAGCCTTCCTTTGCATAATATGCATGGCCGCTTAAATGGCCGACATGGGTGCAATGTGGGTGGCTGTTGGCTGTGTTGGCCGTTGTGGGTGGTATTTTCCCTTCCTTGCTCCGTAGAGCCTGCTTTGCTGGTGGGCCGCTGATATGTGGAGGGGGTTTGGCCCATTGACAAAGTGGTGTCATCCCATTGGTGGCCGTTGGTGTGGCCACTAGGGTGATGCCACGTGTAGTTACCGTTGGGAGGGGGGCTATAAATACCCTCCCCATTCCGAAGAAAGCCTTCATTTGCATCCTGAGCAAACGAAGTGCTGCCCAAAATTCTAGAGAGATAAAGCCTTTTGCTGAGTGTTCTTCACCTCCTTCAAACTTCAAGGTCAGTTCCTTAATCTTTTCTTCGATCTCTTACATATTTTTCTCCCTCTAGGCTTTGATCCAGTGTTAGTCACAAAAACACCTTAGATCTAAAGTAGATTCTCTTAATGCCTTAGGGGTTGTTAAGATGAAAACCTTGAACGAGGAGTATTACCCGTATGACGACAAGCCCTCCGTCAAATCTCTTGACTACGACGTGATCGAAGAGTGTGCCGAGGAGATTGAACACTTGAGCCCGTATAAGTCTGGAGATAATGTGGACGAGGAGGACGAGGACGAAGGGTCCGCCTCGTCATCTGAGGGTGAGGACGCAGGGGTCTCCCGCGTAATGGACGGGGCGTCTGCCTCTACTACCATTCTGTGCCCGAAGTCGGTGTCTGCTGTGAAGGGGGTACCGCAGCCGAAGAGGAATAGGCGGCCGAAGAAGGGCCCGGGTTTCTCTTACCTGGACCTTACCAACATTTTCCTTATCAAGCCGGAGAGCAGCGCTGCTGATTATTTGGTCGCACAGATGTACGTGGGTTCGTTTGGGAGGGCTAGGACGCCTAGGCCAACGGACCCACGTGCTCAATCCGCCGTCGGGATACTTCGGAGTGTATCCGATGAGCTTCGCCAAGGGGCTAAGGTTTCCCCTTCACCCCTTCATCAAGGAATACTTAGACATGGTGGGGCTCCCTCCGGCCTTGCTGACCCCTAACAGCTACTCGTTGATGGTGGGGTTCCTCCTCCGCTGTGCTGAATTAGGTTACAGGGCGACAACGGCCCTATTCATGAACTTTATCAGATTGGCCGAGGGAGCCATAAAAATTGTGCCTGCTACGCCACTCTGCAGCAGCTGCCGAAGAAGAGGTCTTTCACGGACTTGCCTTCATCCATACATGGTTGGAAAAGCAAAATTGTCTTCGTGTCCCTGGGTGAGGGTGGCACTGAATTCCCCTCTGTTGGCCATGATGGGAGGTTCAATCTTCATGACCCGTCGAAGAGTTCGATCCTAGATGCTCAAGTGGAGGCGTTCCTTGAGGGGGGGCCTGAGGAGCGTGAAGGTTTACATCACGGAGTACAAGATGACCGCTATCGGCTTGTTTAGGTACTTCGTGTATGGTGATGAGGAGGATGACGTCCAACTATGGCCGAAGATGACCACTACCTTCGAGGAGGCCGACGGGCCCGATCTGGGCGTCCCTGCCGAAGTTGATGGTAATACTTCCTACGGCGTCCTCGTTTTGTTTTGTTCTTTTACTTTTCTAACTTATTTCTTTGGTGTGTAGATTTTGTAATGGATCGCCGGTCAGTGATGAACAAGGCCGCTGCGAGCCTGCGAAGGCGGAGCTAGCCGCCAAGGAGGCCGCGGCGAAGGCAGCTGCAGGTGGTGATGTGACGAAGAAGCCACCCCCCCCCCCTCCGAAGAAAAAGCGGTCGGTGGATGAATCCCAGAAGAAGCTGACTGAGGCCGACATGCAACCCGCCAAGAAGACCAAGAAGGCTTCGTCTTCCGCCGTTGCCGATGAGGTCGGCGCTCTGACCGTCCCGATTGTGGACGAAGGGGGATCCGGTGCTGCTGCTGCCCTCGTGGATCTTACCTCTGGTCTCTCCAGGGATGTTTCTCAACCCCTCCCCCTCGCTCAGGATTCCCGGCCGAAGCGGTCCGGCAAAGAGGTGGCTACGGCCACTTATAAGGTGGAGGTTGAATACCCCAAGGACGGGGGTGTCTTCAATGATGGTGTTGACGGCCACAGTGTGCTCTCTCAGGCCATTCCGGCCAAGGATCGGGTTTATCTTGACAAGCTCGACGATGTCAAGATATACGACGGTGGGATGGACCTTGTCGTCCAGGTAAATCCTTTCGTCCTTAGCTTTGTCGTTTTCCTTTAATGTTTTTACGAACTTGTCTGATGGTGTTTTGTGTTGCAGGGTTCCTTCATGCTCATGGAGAGCAACAAGAGACAGGAACGAGAGATTGCCCGTTTGAGAGAATTTGAGCAGAAGGCAGCCTCGGCCGATGAGGCCATGAGCTGCTTGGGGAGGCCGTGAGAGGACTTTACGGTCTTGCAGAGGAGGGTCGATGAGGCCGATGCGGCCAAGGACGAGGCCCTGGCCAAACTTGCCGAAGAGAGGGAC